ACACACACACACACACACACACACACACACACACACACACACACACTATTTTCTAGTCTGTTCTCAACTGCCTGTCACTTTTGAACTACTCTTCAGTGACACAGTAACTGTTCCAGTAAAGACACATCAAGCCCAGCCTTGTTGCTAGGCGGGTTTGATCATGACTACCTATCAATGATTGGTAAACGTGTTTCCCTGAACGCTACAATTAGAGTCATAGCGGTCTACAACATGGAAACAGGCTCTTCAGCCCAACCTGTCCATGTTGCCCAGTTTTCACAATTAAACTAGTCCACTAAATTAATTCATAAATTGCTCATGTCTATACTGATCAAATGGAAAAAAAGAAATTCATCACAAATTCACATAAATGTGACTATGTAATTTAGCGTAAATTCTTAATTTTTCTCTCTAAACATTTCTGCTTAGCATACTCGGACTTGGCTCTGGAATTTAGGGGTAGGGGAAGATGGTGGGCAGGTGTGTTCTGCTTGCACCCTTAGATGAAAAGTCAGTTTTGAACAGACCAACTTTTAAAAAGGCCTGGCCATGGCAATAATATGCTTAGTGGTGCCAGTTGTGGTGGTGTTGGGTGATTGGGGGTTGGGAGTGTTGGTGGAGGAAGTGAAAACAAGTTAAGGGTTGAACTTCAATCCTTCAAGGGCCTGGAAGTTCCACCATCAAGGCTGCCAGCCAATCTGATTGACCAGAGGTGTAGCAGTTCAAACACCACTAATAATCTAGCACTGGATGCTGCATGGACTGCAAGCAACTCCACAAAGAAGTACAATGGTTGGAAAAGTCCTAGGCTCTTCGGATGGAATGCAAATGGACAGCTTAAAGGAAGGGTGAAGAGCAGGGAATGTGGGAGGGATCTCTTTTGAAAGTTGGATGGGGAACAATAAAAAGGGAGAAGTGGCATGTTGCATATGATGACCCCAACGCAGACACTGTGATTGATGTGCCCCACTTCTCTCCAACCTCTTCACAAAAGCAGTCTTAATCCTGTCCTTTGCACTCTGTTGGCAGTCTTGCCACTGGCCACCTTTTTGTTTAAAACAATGGGTGACCTCAATGAGGACCTTAATTTTCACTTATTCACCCCACCCTGCATAACAGGAAACAGGTTAGAGTAGGTAGGCAGGAGGTTGACCAGCTATCTGACATGCTTCATATCCCTTTCTGACAGAAAACAAGGCACATGCATGTGTGTGCACACGCGTGTGTATCTTGTCTGTTTGCCTGGGGTGGTGAGGGAGATGGTAAATAGGTGACAGAATACACTGAGTGGATGTGATTTCAGCCCCACAGGTAATCAACATGTAGAGCAAATCTTCCATCACCCCATTATTCAATTCCAAGCCTGAGGCCAGCCATTTTGATCTCTGGAATTAATTTACTCATCTAGCTGAATGGAATACGATCACAGAGAGATTCACATAACCTTGCAGCAGGATGAAGCCTAGGAGCTGTTCTACTGAATTATGCCCAAAGACTTATTTAAGTTGCTCATTGCCAATGCAAAGTGGGAAAAGAATGTGCAGATTACCCATTTATACCTGAAAAGTGCAGTTGGGGACCTACAGACATCTTAGCTGTACAGTATTGAGTCATTTCAACATGAAACAGGTGGGTACTCTGACTGCTTACCTCAGGACCCTATTCAACAGTCACAGCACCAAATGGAGTGACAAACAATACAATGCCATAGTCAGATAGCTGCCACTGTTTTTACATCGGGCAGGGGTACTGAACACAGGCCAATTATTTCCACACAATAGGTTGGTAGCTGGAACCTTTCAAGTAGGTAAAGACAGATATCTCTCTTTGCTTTTGTACTCTAAGTGAATTGTATTTAATATATTTGCTTTGTGATAAACAAACTGAACAGCTGACATTTTCTACTCACCACAGTAAAGCACTGTAAGAAGTAATAAGTCAAATTTATTACAGCGTGTGGTATCACGATATAATGACAATTTTTATAGTTAAGTTGTCATGAGCTTTGACGACTCTGGGAATGTCATTTTACTGAATATCCCCTTACTTAAGCTGCAAAAAAAAACTGTATCTCTTATTCCCTCTGATAAACTTATTCAATACCAGGCTTCCCTAATGGAATAGACATTGGTCTTATTACTTTTAGAAGCAATGTTTACTTGTACAAAATTATAATTGAAAACAAAATTGTTGTCAACATGACTTTACAATTGTGGAGAATGCTTTTTCAGAAAGGCTTACTTCAATCTTGGGACAACCTGACATGCAGTGGATCAGTTAATTCTGTGCCTCCATGCTCTTGGAAATGGCTTGCAAATGCATGTCTGCATTGTGAACATACAATTCACCTGAAAACCCCAAATGATAAAATACAGAAAGAGATCCAAAAATGTTAGGACAATGGCTCTGAAATCGAATTTACCAGACATGTGCATATCTAACTTTACGAATCAGTCTGCATTCCTGGTCTGATACTGTCACCTTTCATCATCTTACCTTCCTGTAATAGAAGATCCAAATACATCATTGACAAATCAGCTTCATTCACTTCAACTTGAATCTTTACATCTTCCACAAGAGAAACATTCAACCAGAAATGTTGATCGAACAACAAATTCTCCAAACATCGTCCAACAAATCCTATGTGAAAGAAAATATTAACAATGGGGTTAAAAGCTGGGGTTCTTGTCACTTGATGTCCATACTCTTGTTATAACAAGTGTAATAGAAGCAAAACAAATGCTGGAAATATTCAGCAAGTGTGGCAGCATCTGCAGAGAGAGATATGTCATGAGAGTCATGTTTCAGGACAGTGATCTTTCAGCAGATTTCCAGTGCCTGCGCAATTCGTAGAATCACAGAATCCCCACAGTGTGGAAACAGGCCATCCAGCCCATCAAGTTCACACCGATCTCCCCAAACAGCATCCCATCCCCGACCCTATCCTTGTAACCCTGCATTTCCCATGGCTAATCCACCTAGACTACACATCCCTGGAAGCTATGGGCAATTTAGCATGGCCAATCCACCTAACCTGCACATCTTTGGACTTTGTTTCTGTGAAAAAAAATGACAGTATACTACACAAGCAAAATGTGAGTAGTCAGCTAGTTATGTTCCTCCTTCTTGTGAAGGCATTAGTTTATCCTGAGGCACAGCTAAACACCGTCTATTAATTGATACCAACGGCAATGTTTCCTCTGTGATCTTAAATTGTGCATCATAGAAATCTCTTCTCCTTGTAGCAAATTACAGTTATGTACAAGCCAGTCCACAATGTCTGTCTACAATGAATACATTTTCTGGCAGAAGTCACTGACTGTTTTTTTCCACCTCCCTGCTTTATCTCTGTGCAACTGTACTCACATTTGCTGCAAAATTGAGCATGAATTGCAGTATTAAAGTACAGGCGTTCACTGGTTGGTACACTTACATTTGCAAAACATTAGACATCCTTGAGATAAAGAATTAGCCACAATAAAAGTTTTATTTCCCATCTGCGATAAAGAACCACATATTTAGACTCAACTGTAATATAAACACCAATAAGTTGCAATCTGAATATACCACCATATCCAGAAAAGTGGACAGGTAAGTCTGCCACACATGCACAACTCTGAAACAAACTGGTCTGCAGCCCAATAATCAAAAAGGGTCAAATGAGCAGAGACTGTACTGGGATAGCACCATAATCTTCAGGCCTATCTGTATCAACATTATAAACAAAGTTTACTGGGTGTTACCTGAAACGTAAGGATCCACATGTGTTTGTGATACAAATCATCCAATAATTAACTGTGTATGAGAGTGTGTCAGCAAATAATAGAAAAACCAAAAGAAAACAAAAAGGAGAGAAGAAATTAAATAAAACTGACAGAATAGGGAGCACAGAAGGAAAGTGAGAGAAACAGATACAAGAAAACAACCAAGTAAGTAACTTGAGACAGAATGAGGAAATGGAAAATAGCAAATATATAACAGAGTAATTGTAGCAGTATTTGCATACTCCTCTGATTAAATCAACTAGTTTCCTGCAAGCTCAAACGTGGATCTGGAAACTTCCCCAGACTATTTATATTTCAGGCACAGTCCCTGTCAAAATGGTTTTAACTAGTTTGTTTTCTCAACAGATGATGCCTGGTCTACTGAATGGACAGTTCTGTCAGCTTCTCCCCCCTCAGACAGCAGGATTATTGTAGGAGGATGAATTGAAATTCCGCAAGCCAGAAACACTCTGGCAAATAATGACATCACCTTCCTGACTTTTATGTCCAAATAAAGAAAAAAGTTCTAATTTTCCTAACTACTGAAATCTTCGGAGTTGAAGGCTGTTCTTAAAACTGTCATTCACGAGAAATGCTGGAAATTAGTACGGAAGGAGCTGGTAATGCTCATTAGATCAGGCAGGATTTGAACAGAAGGAATTTGAAGGAATGGAAAACAATGGTTACGTAAATATTTGAGGACTTTCACCTTTCAGTAGACAGAATTTTAATCTAACCTTCACATATTCTTCTGCCCTCCCATTAATTGTCAATTAACGACTTGACTGAAGGTCCAACAGGATTAATAATGTTACAATGGTGGTGAAAGACTGTGTTGCTTTGACAGCAACTTGCATAAACAGTCTAGTGTTGGGTAAACAAAGAATAATGCATATTTTGGTGTAAATTTCAAAACAGGATACTTGATACATCCCTGCAAAATCCAAAACACTAGAGTGATTTTCCAAGTTTACCTCACTGTCCAGAGACACATGACAAATTAAAAAACACAGGACTGTCCATCCTTCTAACCATTAAACTGGATATGCACGTCCCCCCAGCAAACTCACTCACTGATGAGGTTTACAGAATGGAGGGCTGTAGTATTGTAAAACTGAAGGTAAAGATGACTTATATAAAACACTGTGCAATTTGTAATAATTTTAACACTAAGCAACGATACTATTCTGAAAAGAAAATGTGCTGTTTTATATAAAATATAGTTGGGAGTTGGAGTCGAGTAGTTTGATTCCACATTACCAATTTTTTTTAGTCTTGTTAACAGCATGCTGCAAAAAACCCTCCCAAATAAATTCACATAATTGGGAGAGAGGTGACATTGTACAACATTCTTTAAACTACAGAGGAAATGGATTCATGTTTTTGCTATCACAGATTCCAATCCAAATGAGAACCACTGAGTTCCACCTCAGGACTTGATAGCAAAGGAAATTGCATTCATAACATGGGCAAACATGTTGTCAGTTTGCAAGTTGTTCCAACATAGGTCTTTGGTAAATGGTAAGAGCAGGAGAAACTCCTTGTCAGCTATGAGATGAAAAGAAGTTTGGGGCCCCTATTTTCACTATCCAAAGCTCCAGAGTACAAAACACTTGTAAAAGTATATGTTGCCACAGTAACTTATAGTCCCTGAGTATTCTAACACACTATCACCACTGACAACCACACTAAGACCAAAAAGTTACAGCAAACCTGATAATGATGTTAATCTCATGACTTTCAACTGCCTTAAGGATCATAGAATCCCTACAGTGTGGAAACAGGCCTTTTGGCCCAACAAGTCCACACTGCCCCTCCGAAGAGCATCCCACCCAGACCCATTCCCCATGTCGAACCCACCTAACCTAAACATCCCTGGGCACAATGAGCAATTTAGCATGGCCAATTCACCTACCTTGCACATCTTTGGACTGTGGGAGGAAACTGGAGCACCTGGAGGAAACCCACACAGGCACAGGGAGAGTGTGCAAACTCCATACAGACAGTCACCCAAGGCTGGAATTGAACCTGGGTCCTTGGTGCTGAGAGGAAGCAACGCTAACTACTGAGCCACCGCACCACGCGTTAGTGAGTTGCAAGAAAATTAAACTAACAAACTACTATAAGGCAAACTGAAACTTCAAAAACTTCATAAAAAACTTCATATAAGTTTATTATTTAGTTCAATAGTAGCTTGCTGGCCTCTTTATACTTTACTAGTACAATTATAGAAAATGACAATGTAATGATATATATGTGACGCTACAGTAGTAAATGCTTGAAATTAAAGAAAACCCAAGGAACTATTACTGAAATGGAAGAGAATATTTCATTTTTGAGCTTTACTTCCATCACCAGTTTACTCACATTTGTTCTTTATGGCATGTCACTATTTAATGGATATTCTAAAAATTAATGATTGTTGTAAAAGTTAGCTGTCAATGACACATCTAATATAATTCATCTCCATACCTAGGGAAAGATAAGTTGTAAATTTCCATATTTCTTCCACAGTTTTAAAGGTGAGAATAAAGCGATCCTTTTCTGCGAGAATGGATAATAGTCTTGCTGACAATTCCTGAAAAATTCAAACAGCAAAATAAGGTATTTTAAAAATTTAGGTGTGGTTGGAGGATATTTGGTGAGTGCAAACTATGGACTTCTGTATTCTCCCCCAGGAATGCCAGTAATTCCATAGAAAGGGGCTTTTTCTTAAAAAAGAAGAGGTGAGAACAGGGAAATTCCTTCCTGGTGGAGCGCATCAACCCCATTGTTGTGTTAGAGAGGAGGGCATGGAGCAGACTTCAAGTGACAATGGAGTTGGGTGAATGGCGAAACTGGCAGGTTAGAAGACCAGCCTCCATTTACTGGCACACTAACGCATTTCAATTCATAGTTATTAGGACCTCTAGCCCTCATCACTCCCTCACCATTATGCCCACCACCCCATAACTCCTATGCCCTCATATGGCCTCATGCGTCTCATATCTCCAATATCTCTTTCTTGCTTCCATGCCCCCTCTAGCTCCCTCAGTATTGTATCAACTATACCAACAGGAAGAGGCTGAACACATCATCATGCATCTGGTTTGTCAGTTGGCCCCTCCAAGAATGGTTAAGACTCAGCATGGCTGTGGTTAGTTTACTCTCTAGTGCAAAAGGAATTTGTAACATTTACCTTGTGTGACTGAAATATTTTAAACAACTGACTTTTCTTTGATGAGGAGTTTTTTTCACCCAAATATCTATGCTTATTTGAATAAGGTTAAGAGATGTGAAGAGGATTAAAGGTTTCCTCAATGGGACTTTTACTTCCTATAATTGACCGAAAGTTTTATGAGATGGTATGAGGGACAATATTTTTTAAAGGGAGTGTTGAATGACTGTTTTTGGTTTTCCAATCAATACTACCAGTTTCTGTGGTCACAATCCCTTTGAAGTATTTGTCCAATTCTATGTCTATACTTTCACTGAGGCCATCTATTTCCACCTTCCAGTCAATTATGACATAATTGACTCAATCCTGTCTTAGTTCATCTGCTGCTGAACTTCTCATCTATGTATCTGTTGCCTCTTGACTATTGACTATCACAATTTGCTGACCAGATTTTACCCTTAAGGCTATCTGAATACTGCCATCCATGTCTTTAACACAACCAATTCACAGACGTGCCCATCCTTGCTGAACCACATTTGGCCCTAATTAATTAGTGCCTCAATTTTCAAGTTCTCATTTTTGCTTTCAAATCCATTCCTGGTCTTTTTCTCACCATCTCTTATCTCTCCAGTCCCAACCCTCTGAGATTTTCTGTGCTCCTCTATATTGGCATTTCAAGCATTTCAGTTTTATTTGCTCCACGCTCACGGCCATTGTACAGTTGCCTAGGTTCTAAGCTCTAGAATTCCCTCCCTAGACTTCTCTCAATGAATACACATTCCAACATAAGAAATTATCTTAAGAAACGAGTTTTATTTATTTTAAACTGCTGTGATATCTGCGGATGATTTGACAAATAGCAATGCTGAATAATGTCCAGAAGCACCTTATAGATATAAGAACAACATGAAATGGTAAAGCCGAGGAGGTATTAGGGGAGGTGGCTAAAAGCTTAATCAAAATTTTGGTTTTAAGGAAAGCCTTAGTAAAGAAGTGAAGGGATGGATATTTACCCTCTGAATATCTCCATGTGTGGGTCTCTGGTTGTGAATGCATAGTACTCCCTGCTTCCAATTCCCCCTCGGTGGGAACAATGGAAGAAGGGATGCCTAAAAGACCACAGATAGATGAATGGAGAATTCACATGTTGGGTGTTTTGCATTGCATCATAGGGATAAGGAGGCACAAGGCCAATTGAACAACTCATTGGAGGAAGAGGGTCCGCAACTATCCCCATCCTCAGTGGTAGAATTGACCAACACGTCAGTGCAAAAATACAAGGCCGAAGCATTCACAGCAATCTTGACCCATAAATGCCAAGTGGATGATTCATCTCAGCTTCCTCAAGTGGTCCAAAACATCACAGATGCCAGTCTCCCACCAATCCAATTCACTCCATTTGATTTCAAGAAACAGTTGGTGACACTACCTATCGCAAAGGCTATGAGCCAATGACAACATTCTGACAACAGTGCTGAAGACTTGTGCTCCAGAACTTGCTGCTCCCCTAGCCAACCTCTTCCAATACGCAGGCATCAACCTGATAATATGGAAAATCACCCAGGTATGTCATGCACAAAAGGCAGGACAAATCCAACCTGACAGATTATTGCCCAAAAACTCTCCTCTCGATCATCAGTAAAGAGATTGAAGGTGTCATTAACAGTGCCATCAAGCAGCACCTGCTCAGCAATGGCCAGTTTGGGTTTCATCAGAGTCACTCAGATCCTGACGTCATTACACCTTTGGTTCAAACATGGACACAAGAGCTGAATCCCAGAGGTGAACCCTTGACACCAAGGCCAAATTCAACCAGTGTGGCATCAGGGAGCCCTAGCAAAACTGGAATCAATGAGAATCAGGGGGCAAACTCTTTAGTGGTTGGAGTCATACCTGGCACATAGGAGGATGGCTGTTGGAGGTCAGTCATCTCAGCTCCAGGACATCTCTGCAGGAGTTCCTCATGGTGCTGTCCTAGCCCCAATCATCTTCAGCTGCTTCAATGACCTTCCCTCCATAAGATCAGAAGTGGAAATGTTGGCTAATGATTGCAAAACATTTGACAGCTTTCACAACTCCTCAGACACTAGAGCAGTCCATGTTCAAATGCAACAAGATCTAGACAATATCCAGGCTTGGGCTGACAAGTGGCAAGTAACATTCTCACCATTCAAATGCCAGGTAGTGTCCATCGCCAATAAGAAACCATCCAAACACAGCCCCTTGACACTCAATGACATTACCATCACTGAATCCTCCACTATCAACATCCTGGTGTTACTATTGACCAGAAACTCAAATGGACTCACAGTGACTACAACAGCAGGTCAGAGGCTAGGACTACTGCAGCAAGTAACTCACCTCCTGACTTCGCAAAACCTGTCCACCATCCACAAGTCAGAAGTGTGATGGAATACTGCTCACTTGCCTGGATAAGTGCAACTCCATCAACACTCAAGAAGTTTGACACCATACAGGACAAAGCAGCCTGCTTGACTGACACCACATCCACAAGCATCCACTCCCTCCACCACCCATGTTCAATACTAGCAGTATGTACTATCCACAAGAAGCACCACAGAAATTCTTAGACAGCATGATTACTTCCATCTAGAAGGATAAGAGGAGCAGATACATGGGAACACCACTGCCTGCAAGATCCCCTCGAAACACACTTGGAAATATAGCAGCGTCCCTTCGCTCTTATTGGGTCAAAATACTGGAATTCCATCCCGAACGGCATTGTGGGTCTACCTACAGCACATTGACTGAAGTGGGTCAAGAAGGTGGCTTGCCACCATCTTCTCAAGGACAATTAGGTTCAGACAATAAATGCTGGCCCAGCCACCACCACAGATGTCCCAATGAGTAAATAAAAAAAATGCAATGGAGGTATGTAAATACAAATATCAGAGGGTTGAAACATTAGGCACCAAAAGTCAATATAAGCAAACAAGGCCAGAGGTAATGGACATACTGGATCAACATGAAATAATGTAAGGGTGGGTTTTTGCCTTGAGCATAATATTATCACACTGAAGAATGGAAACTAACTGGAAGCACTGTAGGATAATCTCATCGAGATTTTAAAGACATGGATGCACAAATAAGCTGAGATTGGAGAAGAAATGCATGATGTTATAAAGCTGGAAGCAGGTAGTCTTTACAATATTGAGTATTGTGGAGATAGCCAATAAGTACATGGTCACGCAGAATGCTGAGATTTTGAACAACATATGTACACTTGAGATAGCAATTGGAAAGAAGGTAGAGCTGGTTCCATGCTGTGGAATTCAGGGAAGGGGTCAAATTTGATTACTTCAGACTTCCTACTATTTTGCTGAAGGATCATGAATACCCAGTGTTGATTGAGTCACAACAACTCAAATAGAACAGAAAGGTCAATCAGTGCGGTGGAGGGGTAGAGCTGGTTGTTATCAGTACATATTGGAAAGGGACCTGATGTTGGTGGCTGAGTTCTCCAATCGTATTATGTAGGTGAGGAATGGGAGATGGTCAAAAGTGGATACTAGGGAAATTCAAGATAAGCCAGTGCTGAAGATGTTCCAGCTATGATTGAATAGTCAGAGCAACGGCAGGCCAGAGAGCAGCTGAACAAAACAAAAGGTTTGAAGGAGATTAGTTATGTTGAATTTGGAGAGAGATTGAGGATGGATTTTACTGCAAGGTTACAATCACGATAAGATTCTCCATGCGTTTTGTTAGTGTTATGGGCGAGGCAGAAATTTGGTTGGAGAAATTCAAAATCAACAAGATTCAAATACGGGCAATTGGCTTACATTAAACAATGCTACAATATCCTTGTTTTCACTTTCTAGAATGCACAGTCTCCTTCTTGCGCTCTCCTGAAGCTCAGAATCGCAAACTCGAGATTTTTGTCTTATAACACAATATGACAACGTCACGTCTGAAAAAAAACAAATTATTTCAGTATAGGATGGCTTTCTTAGCACTATTCTGCACTATTCAGATTATACTGATGAAGTACATCAATTTTAAAATAAGTACAACTCTTAAATATTTTAGGTATATGCAACTTTTTTTTGTTTTACCATTTAAATTGCTGATGTTCACTGGATTGTAGCTGTTCAAGGAGGTGACTTGCCATTACTTTTCCAAGGGTATTAGGGACTAATGTTGGTCTTGCCAAAAATACTCAAGATCCCATGAAATAATAAGTAAAAAATCTGCTGCTGTAATTTCTTTTTCATGTTGAACTGCATAATATTCTGATTAATCCAAGTGGCAGTGAGAGTGCATTTCATTGTTCATGATTCATTTCTGCTGATTAGACAACATGTCATTCGAAGAGAAATGAAGACATTTTTTCCTGTACCAACTTTTGCTGATGGCTTACTAACAATATAGAGGACATTCATTTTCAGGTGTTTTAGAATTTTTTCTACTAAGAAGTAAAGGAAGAGAATTTTGGGGGTCTCACTGCACACTCTTTTTGGAGAACTAAAGAGAGCAGCTAGACAGAATAAACTCATGTCTAAAACAGCTAAAAGATAGAGCAGGTGGGAAAATAGATTCATGTCAAGAAGCTTGCCAAAGTAAGGCTTGCCAGGATTTAATTAGTCCAAGTATCTGTGTCAGTTATGTATGTAACAAAAAATGTGCCCTCCCCCATTAAGCAATGACTGATGTTGTATGCTAAGTACTTCCCTGAAGCTATTCTTTCGAAGCTTAACATACATGCCCTTGCATGAAGGCTGCAGCAGTTCAAACAGAACGTATTGTATTATAACAGGAAAAAAGTGAGTTTATGAGTAAACTTAATCATAAACTACCAATATGGCCCATATTTATTGGCAGCAGTTGGATTTGGTGCGCATTTGGCCTTCATTTATTATTTGCTCTTTAAATTTCCAATATCTGAATTGCACTCTTGGCTTTCTGAACCAAATAGCTACCATACTTTGTATTTTGAGTATTCTATTTATGTGGACATACTTGGGGTTTAAGATATATTTAAATATTGAGTTGGAACATCACATTAATTCACACAAAAGGCTGTGGATGCTGAGTCAGTTGAAATTTTCTTTACTAAGATTGAAAGGTATTTGCTAGGTAAAAGCAGGAAGGGACATCAAGGTGGTAGCATGCCAGCACAAGTTAGCTAAACAGTGAATTCGGCTTAAGACCTTAAAAGGCACTCTTTTGTTCCTATCTGTGGAGTCATGCATCAGCATGGAAGAGAACTATAATCAACATGTGGAAACTTTTAGAGTCATCTGCAACTGACTTCCCAGTGACTGAAAACATAATCAGTGTTGGGCATAACTATGGAGAGTGCGGCTTGGAGGTTTTTCTGAGCTTAAACATTCTAAGGAGTAATTATATGGAATGAGTTATTATACTGATCTCCATCACTTTCATAATTGCCTGAAGGCCTTTGTTAGGTCTTGCGACGTGACTTCCGCTTTGTGCAAAGGTGTTTCAAAGGGGATATTGTGTGAGCAATTATGACTCAGATTATGACCTTACTCTGACTTCATCAGTATTGAACTTCCTTCTGTTGCAGTTCTACCATAATATTGGAGATATTGTCCGTGGAAACAGAGTTATGTTATACAAGTATCTTACCTTTGGGAAATTCTTGTTCCACAGGTGATCCCAGAGAATGTTCTCCACAACCTGTGTTGATGCCCAATGACTGTGATTCAGACTGATGCTCCCACTTATCTAAAATGGAGCTTAGTATTAATTTATCAAAATGAATTACTTTATCATTTATTACAACTAGAAAGAGATAGAAGCTTAGAGGCCTCCCAGCTGATAGAAATCCGAAGCCCTGCATTGGCCACCGGCATCATGATTCAGTCTTGCTGGTTGTATTTCTCCACTAATTTTCTGGTGCAAAGTGCTGCTAAGGGGTAGGCCTGTGCTTGGTTGCATCAGACCTCAGCTAATAAACGGAAACGACAATAATTAGAACTTAATAGGCAAGTAATCAGTGGTCAGAATTTTTAAAATGGTGCAATCCGATCTAGAATTTAGTTTCACAATGCTGTAAACACAATCATGAGGGCAGGTCCATTTTAAACAACAAGATTGCCTTCTTTTCCAGGGATTGGCATTCTGTCTGGTGCGCTGGCCTTAGCTGTGGTAAAAACAAACTCACCTTTCTCAGTGAAAAATAAACATGAAGATGAAAAGGATTTCCAAGGATGGATAGACAAGCTTAGGTCACCAAATGGAATGGATTACAAATGTAACCAATGTTTTAAAATGAATTCATATATTTAATATCATATTTAGGAGGGTAGACATGCATCTAGCAATCATGTAATAGAATTTGTGCACAGGTTTTTGTATCTGGTTTTACCTGTTTCCATTTTATCTCCATGTGTAGATTCTGCATGTGATTTAACAGACAGCCTCTGCAGTTCGGAGCAGTAACCTGAAGAGCTAAGTGATACAAAAGGTGACTGTTTCCCTGTAATGAAATAAAATAAGCCAGAATTATAAGCTATTCATAACAGAGACTAAAGATGGCTTTCCACTGAAGTATAGAGCATAAATCATATTTGAGTGGTGTTTCCGTGATTGCACACACATTGCATTCTCAATTTGAGTGAAACTAACTGTAATAACAGGATTGTTCGAATTGAATCAACTATATTATAGTCATGCATTCTAATGGCTGGTGAGAAAGGCATTAGCAAGTAAGCCAAGGACAACCTCCAATGTTAGTCTTGGGGCTTGCACACGGTCAGTCAGCCAATTGGGGTGGTCAGAGCCAGGATCCTACCCTCGTAAGGCATAATGAGCCGAATATTGGGTAGCCCACCACCTGTCTTTATGTTTTCTGTCTTGCTATGGGCTGTTTTCCTTCTAGAATGACAGATGTCAGGAGATGAAAGTAATGGCATGACTATTTCTGTTGGTGCAGGTGAGGAGTTGTCCATGTGCACAGTGCATGCAGGATTGATGCTTTCTGGGGTTTGGGTGGGTGAGGGCGAATGACGGATAATGTTGAAGGCCATAGTGAGAGTGGTCAAGCTTGAGCTTTTATGGAAGGTGGATACAGGAGCAGAGATAGAGTGAGGTATTGGAAAGAAGATAGTCACACTTATGTTGGCAGGGTGGAGAGGGTAATTGGTCTTCTTACCACAATACTGTTCCTCTACAAGGCTGAAACTGTACTGACTCAGTGGGCAACCTAGCATTGGGCTGGCAATAAGCTGCTCTCATGATCTCTTCTGCTGGTCCTGGGGAAAGACGATGTTCAGCGTCTACACCATCCCATCCAGCAGGACCTCCAGGTCCAAGCCGCAAAGGGGAACGCCAATTTCTACTTCCCTGCCATGTCCAAAGTCAGGTTGGGACTACTAGTGCTTATCTGGGTGCACAACAGCATGTTAAAGATAGTGCCAAGGATGCCAATCAATTCCAGGATTTCCTGCTAGTGACATGTTGTTCTGAAATAATGTGGGATAATTGGGTGAGGAGATATGCCTTAGGGGTGGGGTAGGTAGTAAATGAGTTGAGTTTGGTAAGATACAACAGAGATCTCACTCAGCTATGCAGTGAGAAACCTTTCAAGAAACTTGACAAAACTGATGCTTAGCCGATAGACATGTTATGATTTGTTCTAAAGTCACAGACATCTTTCCATTACTCAAAGTATTATTTATGATTTGCAAGCCTAAACATTACTATTTTAGGTATTTTCTACTGTAACAATTAAAAAAAGAAGTCTTCTGCTTCAATGACCTCAACTCCACGAGCATAAATGTCATCTTTTCTCTGATAATTCCCACTCACTCCATCAACACTGTATCCATTTTCCACCAAGAATCATGGTCTCTGACTTTCACTGAAGCACATCTTCCCTCATTTGCTCTCACCCATCCGAAATCCCAGCATCATCATATTAAAAACAATCCACAGGGGAGAACTGAAGGACAATGTAAGAAAGACAAAGAGATTTAGGTTGGAGGCTATCTCCTATAATAAAACAGAAATCCAAACATTTACAAAATCAAGGAAGTCACACTGGACACACCTCAGCTGGAGGATTGTGTCTAATTCTGGAAAATACATTTTAGAATGGATGTTAAAAGCTTGGAGGGGGAACAGAGCCAGCTATCAGGATGATACCATGAATTAGAGTCTTTAATTATATGAATATGTTTGAAAAAATGAGTTTGTTCACATTAGAACAGATTAGGGAGATTTGATAGAGATACTCAAAATCTTACACTGCATCTGAAGAAGGAAAAGATGAGCAGATGCTTTGCATGTGAATCCTGCAATGAGAATCACAACTAATAAAGAGCTGGAAGATACATCTTAAAAATTCGTGTCATTACAAGATGTCATTTCTGACATATTCTGTACTCTTTGTTCACCATAAAATGGGTTGAATTTTACCACAAATCAGTTATGCGTAATTTCTGGGTTTAATGGAAACTTTCTCTCCATGAGGCCTAGCATGTCTCTCACACTATCCTCCCAAACTCACCTCATTACATATACACTATGGAGTTCCAGTCATTGTCTTCTCCCACTCACTGTCAGTAGAAGTACTCGGCATTGCAGGATATCCTGGCATTTCTTGAGCTGGTACCATATTTAAAACAAAGGTATGCACCAGTTCAGGGGCTGTGCAGCATGGTTTGTGCCATTTACCGGAACATATCACACAAGGGAGAACTGGTCTCCTGTTTTGTGTGCAGGAACATCGAGGCCCTGGTGCATGTGTTGGTACAAAGAAGAGTTGTCTTCGTCCACAGGACCAGCAGAGAAGACCACAAAACCACATCCTGCCAGCCTGGTCCGAGGTTGCCACTGGTTCAGTGCAGTGTCATCTGGAGAAATGCCCAACAATTCAGGAAGAAGACAAATAACCTTCCCTGCTCTGCGAGAGTAAATGCCACCATCTTCTCTATGCTACCAAGACTCATGGTCTATCGCGCTCAGTCTTGTATATTACGTCATTCCTCATGCACTCTCATCCACACCAACTCTCCCACCTTACTAATCCTATAAACACTTTACGCTTCCTACTCACTCATCTGGGGTACCTCATCACCTTTCCCCCACCTGCACTAGCAATACCGTCATGACAGCCATTTTGATCTCACTCATTCCCTCCCACCATCCCGTTCGGGGAGACAACAGCACACAATAGGGTGGAAAGAGCAAAAATAGCTGGTGGGTTTCCTGACACGGATGGCAAGAGGATCCAGGTCCTGGATAGTGAGGAACCCAACAACCCATATGGTGATCTCAAAACATCCATATCCCAACAACCAAGTAAGAAGCATTGCCCATTTCTATCACTCTCCCATTGCTGCCCCAAGAATGTATTCTTACTATTCCTGAACTTCTACTCCTTTTCACAATTCATTCTTTCTTGCATCTCCTCCAGCAATGAGTGCAGCCTGCATAAGTCTTCGCTGGTCAAGAGGGACAGTTACACAAAATATTCTGTCCTTCATCTCGGAGGCTGAAGCCACAGACCTCTCAGAGAGAGCCCCTGCAGCGTCCACTAACTCAGATACTAACACTTTGCTCTGTATTTTAGCTACATTAGAACCTTGGGAGACAACCTGGTGAACACATTACTGCCACATCACTGCAGCTGACTGAGGAATAACGACTTCTGGTCACTGACACCCATGCTCGGAGACCAGGTACCAACTCAACCCCAGGCAGGAGAGAACCCCATGATGTCAGCAATTAACAGCTTCACACAAATGCACAAGCAGAAACAGGAGCAGTTGGCAGGTTTGTCAGAGGTACTAGGTAAACTGACACATTGCTGTAGTCCTGCAACCTATATTATTGCTACACTGCTGCCTCAGGCATGCAAGCATCTGGCTGCTTCCATGGACAGGCTGGAGTCTGCCGAGACAGGAATCTGCACCTGCTAGATAAACAAACTGATCTGTGCTCCATCATTCTAGGCTTTGGTGCTCAGCATCAGCAGGGCAGCATGGTGGCTCAGTGGTTAGCAGTATTGCCTCACAGCACCAGGGACCTGAGTTCAATTCCAGGGTGACTGTCTGTGTGGAGTTTGCACAATTTTGCCATATCTGCATGGGTTTCCTCTGGGTGCTCTCGTTTCCTCGTACAATCCAAAGATTTGCAGGTTGGTTGAATTAGCCATGGGAAGTTGCCCATAGAGTCCAGAGATGTGTAGGTTAGGTGAATTAGCCATGGGAAATGCAGGGTTATGGAGACAGGGCAGAGGGGTCGGTCTGGATGAGATGCTGTTTGGAAGGTTAGTGTGGAATTGATGGGCCAAATGGCCTGCTTCTACACTGTAGGATTCTATGAACAGCAAGGCAACAGAAAGACAAGGCTTTAAAACAAAGAACTGCAGACGTTGGAATCTGAAACAGCAAATGCTGGAGAAACTCAGCAAGTCTGGCATCATCTGTGGAGACAAAAATAGAGTTAACCTCTTGAGCCCAGGAATTCATCAGAACAAAGGGTCACTGGATTCAAGAGGTTAACTCTGTTTTTCTCTGTACAGATGCTGCCAGACCTGCTGAGTTTCTCCAGCACTTGTTGTTTCAGAAAGACAAGGAACCCAGGCCTTACTCCAGATGCCCCTTCTTCACAAGGGGGTATGACATTGTCAGTAGGCACCCAGCTGGAGGAGGAATCATATAGAGTCGCTGAAAAAGTCTGCTCTCAGGACTCCCCAGAAATGGTCAGGCCTTCCACCTCCACCCTCCCTGCCACTGTCAGTTGTGTAAATTTCGAGCTGAGGTTGGCTGGGCTCTCTGGACACAAATGGTCCAGGGTCACCCAACAAAATCTCCAAAGCCAACGGGTTTCAGTGTAGGACAAATTTCCTTCATCCAAGCTGCAGACACTGGGACTGCACTGAGATGTCTTTAGATGGAAAGGAAGAAAACTTTCTAAGACCACACAGGGCACACTTTGTTGTAAATATGTTGTCACTTTTGTTAATATATATTCGTCATCAGCTGTGAGTGAATGTCTGTCTAGCTGCAACTATAAGACTGAAGATACAGAGGCTAGCCATCTGCAGTGTTACATGAGTTTCTATGGACCAAATTGTAAAATGAGCAGCTTCTGCACTGTGTGCAGGTTATGGAAATTTAGAAGGTGTTTGCTACTTTGGCAACTAGGGTCAATCTTTCCACGCCACAACACATTGCTTGAATATTAAAGAAATTAATTCCTGATGCTGCATAATGTGATCACAAGTGTTTGGGGGCAGGACTTGACTGCACACAGTAGGTTAATGCTCAAGGTTCTCATTCAGCATGTACTGCTCACAGGTGTGTCTTTTATCTGAACTGTATGGATATCTGAGTAATGTTATTGCCCTTTGAAGGGCCTTTGATCAACTGAAAATGCAGCACCCTCCCTCACAGGATGAAATTTATCCACCCTGTCCAATAGTTGTGGCAGCTACATTCAACTCCATTGCACACTTGTTATTGCATCATG